GCAACCTATTCTCCCCTCATGTAGCCATGACCTCAGCCTTCTCCATTTCATCCTGCCATTGGGGTCTCCTAGGCCCCGCACATTCCATATCGTTGTTCTAAGCTTGTTCATCCTCATAACTTGTGACCGCCTTCGATTGGATGCGGGAAGTTGACCATTGTGTTGTCGGTTGCTGTTGATCTTTTGTGTTGATTTTGTTGCTTGATTCTGACTGATTCTTCGAGCGCCGGCAAGAACTGCCTCTAGATGAGCTTGCTCTTGAGAGAGACTTTGATTCCTCCGTCAGGCTCTTCGCCAGGAACTCTGAGTGTAGATTCTCTTCTGGTAACAGTTTTCGTTAACGTTCAGAGGAACCAAGGTCGAGATGCCCGACAGGAATTTGATAGCCTCGAGCTCCTGCATATTACGTTCTCGAATCAGATCCATGTGAACCCATTTAACTTCTGATTGGGCTAGGATATTCACTGTCTCTGGTGGAATACGAGCATCCAAGATGGGGAAGTACATCTTGGTGTAGCCCTGGACTGTCTCACATATCACGGGTACCATCGATGAGTGTGGGATCAGGCGAACTGGCAAATGTTTTCCGTACAGTGACCACGTGGTTTCCATGATTAATGTTGGAGAGGGTGAGCATTCCACCACCTGAGACGGGGTTTTTGGAGTGTCGTCTGCGTTAGTTAGTGCTAGCAGGAACACACGATCGTCCGCCTTGGTGCAGAGAAGTGGCACCCAGCATCTTTGAGCAGTCTCTATTTGGTTTTTTTCCAGTGTCATTGAACCTATGTTTCCTTCCTCTGTCCCTCTGTGTACAACATTCTTCATTGCGCTTGACTGTGCCAAACTCTCTAATGATGGGAGGACGTAGACTTATGCAGGGCTCCGTAATCTACTTCACAACATTCGCTCCCCCACCCGATTTTGGATCTGGAAGAGTTCGACGTTTTTTTATAGTTCTTCTGCGATTGCTGGGAAGGTTCCTGGGCGGAAGCCTGTGTCCCATGGCCTAGGGCCTCCCTCCTGTCCTTTTGGCTCTGAGGATTGATTCTGCCTCCAAGTCGGAGTCTTGTCCCCTCTGCTCCGCCTAAAGTCCTCCTTCCAGGTGTCCCATCTCCTGTGGTCCGCCCTCTGCGTGCGCCTACTCCCTCCACTCCTCTCTTCCAACCTGAAGAAGTCCAATCATGAAGTTGCTCCTCGCCCAACAGTCGGGTTCGCGAAGTTCCTCCAATCGTAGTTGTCAGTCAGGTATCGAGCTTGGGGGTGATCGATGTGGTAGCCCTGGTGAGGTTGACACTGTTCTCTGAGATGGTGCTGGTATTCCATACTTGCCAACCCCATTAGTTGTTGTTCCTGCCATGTCATATGTGTTGGGGCTCCCAACCCCATTCTGTCCATCTGGTTGTTCACGTGGAGGCTCCTTTCCGCCTGGTTCCCTGGCCAGTCCCTCCTTTGAACAGAGGGAGGCAACAGTGACAGGCCCATGTCGATAGCTTCTTCCTCCCCCCATCCTCGAGGCCCTCTTTGATGATTCCCTCTGTACCACCGGGTTGTGTTATATCCCGTACCTTGTGTCCCCGTCCATGGTGTACCCAACTTTCTACCTCTCTTCCGTGAAGGGGGGTTATGAGAGAGGTAACGATATGTTTGCCCCTTTGCCCTAGCGTTTAGGGTGCAAGGTTGGGGCCGCTGGCGGGGGGCCGACTAACACAAGGACCAAGCATTTGCCAGTAAATGCGCCTCCCTTTTCATCTTCCCCCATAAAGTAACATTAGTGTCTAAAGCCAACACTCTCCCGCACACCACACACAACCCACTCACACGAGCACTCACACCCGTGTTGGTTGAAGACCTTATTGATACAGACTGGGAGGATCCAACTGACTATCTCAGTTGGTGGGCACCAAGAGTGTCACAGGCGCCCATGGAGATTGAACCCACAACCTCCTGAATACCACACACAACC